CAGCTAATTTTGGTCGTGAGATATTATTTAGGACGTAACTACAATTCCATCTGATGGTAAGTGATGATGTAGCTTAACATGGTAAAGCGCAATGATTTAACAAAAGCTTATTCACCGTTGCGTTGCCTTGAAGACACCCACATTTTAATCGGATGGGAAAACAGACGCTAACAAATTATTCCACTCTTTTGTGCACGCATTATTAGGTTCTAATATGGCAAACTATAGGAAGATTACGGCTGCTAAAATTTCTTTTAAATTTAGTAAATCAATTATAAACTGTTGCCTGTAAACAAACAGGATTAATAAGCGAAGTAACCTAAAGTTCAAAGAATTTTGGGGACAAAACTTTTTGTACTCATAGTATATCACGATATGAAAATAACCATTGGTGGAGCTATTAGTGTGTGTGTGTGTGAATTACCACTAGATTTCCACGAAAAAAGAAATAAACATTAAGATTAGAAAGAAAGACAATATAAATATTTTAAATAATTTGTGTTCTCTAGTCCTATAACAATTTAAAGACAGTCTAACAATTGTGGAACGAATGTACTTGTGCAGAGCAATGTGCGGTGCCTTGTGAGGCAGTGGGCGGCTCGACCACAGATTAAGGACTATTTACTCATGTGGCCACAGCATGTGGCTCTACCTTAAGCCAGCGTGCTCCACTAAGTCTGATGTACATATTACATGAGGTTGACGCGAGCGCGTTTTATAGTACTTATTTAACTAATTCGAAGTGATTTTTTCGAAAAATATAATATCTATTTTTTTTAAATCTTTATTTTCAAAAAAAGAGGTTTTGTCACACAGTGATTATGTCACCCCCGTTATATACACACAAAAATAATAACAGAAAATAAAGTAATGAACACATAATAACATAGAAAGTAACAGAGCTACATAAAATTAAAATAAATTTAACAACAAAAATAGATATGATGTAAAATCCTGTGTTATGATTACCCTTATAAGTAAGAAAAGATTACATCTCGCTAACTCACATTACATGTAAATAAAGTTTGATTAGCATTTTGGCCTCATGACAAAGTGGAGATGATAGGATAGCATTACATATGCCTACATTGTGATTGTTCAAAAATGTCATATCTTGCCTTTGAACCTCGTTCCGAGCACACTCCATCAAAACATGGTGCACATCTTCTACAGTATTACACTCCGAGCAATTAGGGGAGTCTGAAATTCCTATCAGAAATCGGAACTTATTTGACGGGATGTGCCCCGAGCGAAGTCTTAAGAGTGCAACAATATTCTTCCTGTTAATTTCATTTTTTTCAAACCATGGATAACGAGAAGGTTGACACTGAATGGTTTTGTACCATATTCCCTTATTAAGTGAGCGTTCATCAAAATAGTCTTGCCATAATTGCCTACAATTTACTTTAACCTCACGTAACAGTTCGGTGTGTACTGGTAAAGTACTATATGTAATACCGTTACTAATAGCTCGGCTTGCAGCTCGATCAACCTCCTCGTTACCCATGATGCCTGTATGAGAAGGTATCCATTGGAAGATTACCACCTTATTTAATGCACTAAGCTTACATATAGAATCTAGGATACTATAGGCTATCGGAAGTCCTCGAATACTCGAGGGCAGCCCCGCCAAATGTAACAGGGCACTCTTAGAATCGGATAATATGACAAATTGATTGTAATTCAACGTTGTAACGTACGATAAAGCCTCGGATATCGCGATCAGTTCACAGTGCATTATAGAAACGTCAGCTTTTATTTTAAACCGTACACAGATGTCCATCTGCTGGTCAACAAAGGCCGCACCGCATCCCGTTTTATCCTTTGATCCGTCTGTGTAAATCTTATAGTGTGTGTTGTACTTATTATTTAGGAAGTTACAACATATATTACGTAAATTATCTATACCGACATGTCTCTTTGGGCGTTCCATTCCGTCTACTATAGTCTTAATATTATGAGATATTTCATATCTACTAATCCAATCGCTGAGAGAGTAAATCAATAGTTTGGAGTCAGAATGCATAGAAAGATTACAATATTTGTTATAAGTTTGAACCAGTAACGGAACTTTCTTTCTCCTCCAGTATAAGCCCTGACACTGACTATTTAGTTCTTCTAGAACGCGTGTTGTTATATTATTTTTGATTGACCTAGACTTAAACCAAAATTTTGCGGCAAGATACTCGTATCTTCTACGAATGAACAGTGGCTGTAGGCACAGTTCACTTTCCATGACATGGATAGGAGTGCTTCTTATGAATCCGCCTATCACTCTCATCGCTTGATTCTGTATAGTTTGTATAAATGTGTTTCACACTACTATCATATAAGAAACAACTGCAGTCTAGTCTACTTCTAATTAATAAAATATGAAGACGCCTTAAATGCATTGGGTGAACACCCCATTTGGAGCCTGCTAACACTTTAAAGATGTTTAGAAACTTAAGTAGCTTTTCCCTCGTTTCATTTATGTGTCTACGCTATTTTAAATTTCTGTCCAGCCACACGCCTAAATATTTAACACTATCGAGTCTTTCAATACGTTCGTTGTTGATGTTTAAAGTAATATTACTACTGTTTGAGTTTCTCAAGTGTCCTCTTGTAAACACGCAAACTTTGGTTTTTCTGTGAGAAATGTTTAAACCGATATCTGTTATCATAGAGTTTAAAGCAACTAGAGATCCTGAGTAACAGAAACTGCATCCGTTATATTTTTACGGCTAGTATAAAGTACAAAATCATCAGCGTATAGAGATATAAATACTTGATTCAGATTTTTACAGATATTGATAGTTGCTGCGTTAAATAATAATGGCGATAAGGGGTCGCTTTGTGCTATACCGGTTCCTGTATATCTGCTAACACACTCTTCATTGCTTAGTTCGATACATAACCTTCGTGAGTGCAAATATTGGTAGAGGTAATTAGATATTACGGTGCCTACTCCTAAATTATCTAGCGCACCTAAAAGACTTATAATATTGACATTGTTGTATGCGCCGTCGATATCAACAAAACACCCTACAGTAGCGTCTCCGTTACCAAAGCCACTCTGTATTCGTGACACTAACCTAGTCAAATTGTCCAGGCAAGATCGCGATCTTCTAAAGCCTACTGTTTCATCTGGTAAACAATTATTTTTTTCAAGGTACCATTCCAATCTGCGCGTAATAATTGTATGAAAAATCTTGCATGGACAAGACAGAAGGGCTATAGGCCTAATACCTGAATTTGAGTTATTGCTAATTTTCGGTTTCGGTATAGGCATTATTTTTACATATCTCCATTGTCTTGGTACAAAGCTTGAAAGCAAAAATCTGTTTTTATAAAGATACGAGCACAATTTTAGCAGCGTTTGGAAAGTTCTTTATCATAGCGGGGCATATCGGACTGTTTAATTGTGTTTGCGAGTTCATGAACCGAAATAGGTAAAGATAGATGTACGTTCTCGCTATTAAACACAGGAGCCGGTGGATCTGCATAATCAGGTGCTAAACTACACAGTAAGAAATCAGCTGACTCGCGGGTAATATTAGTTCTCGCTGTCATGCACCCCTTCAGCCACTTCATTTTAGCCCACATTTCACTTGAAGTTGATACACTGCCAATGCTGTCACAGAAACCTTGCCATGATCTATTTTTACTACTACGAATAATTTTTGTGCCAACCTGACCTTGTTTTGTAATGCTTCTAAATTTACTGGTGTAGGGTTTCTCCTAAAAACAGCAAGTTCCCGACGTCGTTCCGCTACAGCTTTTGAAATATCCGGATTCCAATATGGTATAGGAGTGAACCTTTGTTGGAGAAGAAGATTTTCTGAATAAAACTATTATTTACGGATTTTATCGCGTTTAATTACTTTAATTTATTTTTATTATTATCCCGACGTTTCGGGTGCTTTACAGCGCCCATGGTCACGGGGGGGACTGAGATGTTTGACGTCCCAATGTCATGTTCAAGATCGTCCCCACCATTACATTAGATTTGATAAACCACAAATTCTCGCAAAAGAACACCGATTCCTACCAAGGATGATACGCGAAGCTATTGAAATTAAAAAAACATCCAAATTTCAATAGAGAAGATGGTTGGGTGCTACCATCTGCTTGGGATCCTATAATTAACAAAATTAAACCCAAACCCAAGCATACCACTGCAAGACTTCATGATACTATAAGCTCGTTTTGCGTAAATCGGACCAAAAATTAATATTAAAAAACTGAAGGTAGCCGGACTAACTATGACATTGGGACGTCAAACATCTCAGTCCCCCCCGTGACCATGGGCGCTGTAAAGCACCCGAAACGTCGGGATAATAATAAAAATAAATTAAAGTAATTAAACGCGATAAAATCCGTAAATAATAGTTTTATTCAATGTGTAGTGTTCGCGTAAATTTAAGAAATCATTAGGATTTTCAGATATTTTTATAAAGGGAATACACTTATCAGCTGCTTCGTTAATAATATCGATGAAAGCGTCGTACGTAGACTGGTGATCATCTGGTAATATAAAGCCTTTAAGCTTTCTCTCTATATGTGTCTCATACTGCAACCAGTCAGCCTTTTTAAAATTGCGTTTTCTTTTATAGATATTGGATGTGCCAATATTAGTTTTTATCTTTTTCATTAAATGGTCACTTCCCAAATTTTCATTTCATTTCATTCTTCATATCATTTTCATTTCATTTCCATCACGAGCGGATGGTGGGCAGTATAAGTAGTATACATTTTCTATATGTTTACAATTTAAAATTCTAATATGGAGGATCTCAATTTGTGAATTTAGCAGTTGTTTTTGTGCCTTAATTGACCTGTGAGTCAATATAGCTACGCCTCCAAATCTGTCAGCACGATCCGTTCTAAAGACGTTATAGTGGCTAATGTGAAAGTGACTACCCGGGTCTAACCAAGTTTCGCTTATAATAGTTTTTTTAGTATAACTTCTAACTCTATACATTTAGATTGAATGCTTTGCGCATTCCATTGTAGCACATTTACGTAGGTTTGTAAGTTATTGTTATCCATAATTGTTTTACGAAATTGCAACAAGGCTGATCTGCAATAAGATGCAACACTAATGATATTAACGCCTCCAATATTATATTTCCACAGCCTTTCATCTTGTCTTCCCACGAACTACTTTCCTCTTCAAATATCTTCTCTTTTAATTTTTTAAAAAATAATTTCCAAGACAATTGTTCTTTATTTTTCGATCGATTCTCATCACTTAGCTTGTCGTCCATTCTGCTTTCTTCTTCACTAACTTCGGTAAAAAAATCAGGTATATTTTGTTCCTGTTCTTTGAGGGCCCTTCTTCTATTCCTTCGTTTCTCTGACTTAGAGCTTTTTCTCGTTTCTTCCGGGGATGTTTTTGTAACACTAGCGTAGGTATACACATCACTAGGCCCGGGAATCTGCTTATCTTGTTGTGATGATTCATTTTCAGATGTAGGTTGTGTAAGTAGAGGTGGGTCATTTTTCGTAATCGGTGGTCGAGGTGACGGCGGGACATACAGCATAAGGGTTTTTTTTGTAGGAACAGTTAAATTCCGCCATGAGTTCTCTAATTCGTTTCTCTTTCAAGAAAACAGGGCAAATTTTAGCCATTGCCATGTGTTTTCCCATACAGTTATTACATTTGAAAGTTGTCGTTTCACAGTTAGGATGACTTTTTGTAAATTTAGGACAAATTACTTTTAGAGAAGGGCACATTCTAATCGAGTGACCAAATCGCCAGCAACGGGAGCATTGCGTCACTGTAATTGTACACGTGTAAGGACTCACTTTTACCCTAGTGTCATAGATGTAAACAAACGACGGTAATGACGATCCCTTAAAACATATTCTTACAGACTCGCTATGTTCCCAATGACCGTACTCTTTTTACTGCTAAAATTAAAGTTTCACTTTTAAGTCCCAGTAATATCTCTTCTTCGCTCAATTCTAGATCAATATCTTTTATGAACCCATATGATTGACTAATTTCTAAAGTTTTTTGTCATTTAAAACCCTTCTCGTTAAATCTCTTGCACTGTACAAAAGATTCAGCACTTTCTTCGCTATTAAAATGAATCAATACCTTAAATGCATTTATGTACTTAATTTTCGTGACGTTTTTAATACTTTCTGCTTTTAACATTTTTGCCAATCCAAATTGTTTCGGAAGTTTATCTGTGCATGTTAAACATACTTCAATTTTATCCTCCGTAATTCTCGTAAGTACATTATTCTCTGTACATTCAGTATATCTATTTGCCTTTCGCTTTTTTGAGAATCTCCCTAAGAACATGTCATTCATATCTTCCGTACTACACATCTGTGAAATATCCTCCATGATCACTGTAATCTCCCTTTCATTGCTTTCGTTAAATACACTACTTTCCACATCAATCTCACTTTGCACATAATTCAACATAGTGTTACTACTCATAATTAAATGACCTTACTGTTAACATGGTCTACAAAAGCGCACTGACGTGCGGAGCGCGTTGCTAGAACTAGGGATAGTACCTAATCGAACGGTAGATCAACGCGTCAAGCTACAGCGAGCGCCCACGCGCAACTGTATAATATCTATAATGGTGAATTACTGTTATAATTATATGAGCTACTAAGTAAAATTGATTTAAAATGACGGCTATGCCTATGTTTCCCTATTTTTATTAAAGTGTTTATCCGAATGCGAATACACTACATAATTAAATTCAAGAATTGAAATTGAATTGAAAACTAAAAACATCTATAGAAAGCAAGTATCACGTAAATATTTGGCAGTAGAACTCTTGTAAATGTATTTTCTTGTAGTAATAAAAATGTTCTTGCTCGATAAATGTTTTTAATTTATAATTATGAACATGATATTAATAAATGATAATAAATATTATAGTATTATAATATTAATATAAATGAAGAAAATTTATTTAATTCCTAATTTCGTGATAACCCCAGTATACACGCCGCCTGTGTAAATAACTAGACAGCATCGCTTGACATCAAAGGCGTATCACATCTGTTAGGTTTTTAAACTGCGGTCCTATTTTCAAATTTATTACTAAATACCCAGCTCTTTCAATGATCGATGAAATTTAGCTCACCAGTGTCAGCTGATTGACTAAAGATATCTTTCTTCTTTTTGAATGCTTCTGACTAATCGTCCGATAAATGTAACTTAAGGTTAGCACAGCACGCCTCTGGAATAACTTGCCTGAAAAGTGAAGACAACTTTCCAGCAAATAAATATTTTAAGAAGAGATTGTTCAGGCTCTTTTTCTAAAAAATATTTAAATTTATAATCTCAATCAGTATGTTATTATCAGTATATTATTGTTATCTTACATTTATATATTATTTAATTAGTATAAAATCTAGGTGCGTGTGTCTCTTTGTCTTCTTTTTTACTTTTTCTGTTCTCTGCAGCCATTTTCGTATTTTGGTCCCTTAATGTTTGTAAGGTTCAATAATGATTTAACAAAAAAATAAATGAGACGATGTCCTTGTTCCAGCATCACGGTTCTTAGATATAACCCTATGGGATTTGACATTTTTGATGGGTTTACAAATTATAAATCACTACTCCATTAGACATCTACGTTTTTCCTCTGAGGACTAATAAGTATGTAGTAATGACATGTTACTAGTAAAAAGGAACTCTGGTTTTTGTCACCTACCATATAAAATAGTATTTTGCTGTTATTTCACGCGGTTATTCTATGAAAATGCGGACCTAATTCAAAGGAGTTGGCCCGTTTGTATTGCCGCTATAATAAACGCTACAATAAAGTAACGCGTGGCTCTACTTTCATTATCTGGGTAGTTTTACCTCTCTTCGCTTTACACCTATGTAAATAACATAGAAGTTATCTCATTTCTCTATTTAAACACAAAAATAAACACAAATAGTAAAACTTTAAATGAAAACTACAACCTGGCTTTAAAAGGTAACGACTAGAATCTCGTCTAGATAGTTACATTAAAATATTCATGTCCCTAGCTTCTAGGGATGAAATTTTATGTTTAAATTTACATTGGACAATCTTTTATAAGTAACCTATTTAAGTGTCTGTATAAATTGACGAGCTGATTCGGTGAGTATAGTTTTTATATGTATGTATATCTGTGTAACCGGGATAATATTTAAAATGGCTGAAGCAATTGTAATGACACTTCCCGAACGACTAAATTTTATCAAAAAAAACTTGGAGGTTTTAAAAAAATGATAAAAAAGGCCTTTGATTATTTTAAATCATAATAAAGCCACATTTATAGATTCCCAGGCGAAAATGGGCCGGGTCGCTAGTCATAAATATAATTTGATATATTTAAAATTCTCTTCCTTGAAGCGCCTATATTAATGTTTCAAATAACTTTCTCTTTGCTCTAGGGAAATACTCTGATGAAGCAAGTCCCATTTCGATCTCTGTGTAATGAACAAAGTATAAAATTAAAGCGCTAGTTAGAAAATTAAAAGTAACTGCATAATTAATAACATTTACTCCTCACTGTTTGAATGTACTTTCTAACTTCCCGCTATGATAATCAATGATTTTCAAACAATCGGGAAGTTATTGATTTCACCCCGGTTTTCTAAAATTAGGTTTGATCCGATCTGAAGTTTTGTGGTCTTAGGAAGCTATTCTGAGTATTCCTACGGGGATATCACTATGCTGTATGTGTATGTGTGCGTGCGTTAATGCGTGCAGGCGGGCGCGCGCGCGCGCGTGTGTGTGTGTTGGAGCGTGCGTGCGTGCGTATGGGCACGTGCGTGCCTGTGGGAATATGCGGGCGCGAGCGCGCGCGGCGCGTGTGTGTGTGTGTGTGTGTGTGTGTGTGTGTGTGTGTGTGTGTGTGTGTGTGTGTGTGTGTGTGTGTGTGTGTGTGTGTGTGTGTTGTGTATGTGTTGTGTGTGTTGTGTGTGTGTGTGTGTGTGTGTGTGTGTGTGTGTGTGTGTTGTGTGTTGTGTGTGTGTGTGTGTGTGTGTGTGTGTGTGTGTGTGTGTGTGTGTGTGTGTGTGTGTGTGTGTGTGTGTGTGTGTGTGTGTGTGTGTGTGTGTGTGTGTGTGTGTGTGTGTGTGTGTGTGTGTGTGTGTGTGTGTGTGTGTGTGTGTGTGTGTGTATGAGAGTATGTAAGCCTATTATAACTTTTGATCACGGTTTTGCCAAACTTAGATTGTCGATACTGTTTCAACCGATTTAGACCGGTGGATTGTGAGAAATTTCAAAAATAAAATTTTCAAAATAAATATTTTTGGAATAACTATTAAACAACTGAAAGATATAATAGATGTCAATTTTAATCTATTCAGCTCTTAAATATGAAAATGACGCCTATTGCTACAAACCGTGCAAAAATCCGTTAATGCGTTGACGAGAAATCGGTGACGAAAAATTTCGTTATAAGTATTTTTTTCACATAAATTTTGAATTCATAATCTGATCGTTTCTTTATAATTGATTTTATTATTGTTCTTACATTACCTTGTCGATCGCCACAAATTACATTTTTTTAATAAAAAGAATATTAACACTGCTATAAACATTACTAATATTCCCCTTAACCACTCCTGATAAGCTTAAATTGCTTGTGTTACGAGTGCTTCACGCCAGTAGTCGAATGGCGGATTCGAACCCACGACCTTTTTGAGTTCGCGGTCCGCGCCCTGCCATTAGGCTACTGTCGCTTATACGTTAAAATCGGTTAATGTGTTTGAAAGTTATCGTTGTCAAAAATTTCAAAAAAAAAAAGGTTTTTTGTAACAAGTTCGAAATTTCTGCTCAGATTGTTTTTGATATAATAAGTTAGCTATTAGTTCGTAAAAATATTTGTCGAGCGTTTGAGATCCAACATAGCAGAAACTTCCGGGGATTGCCTGCAGTGTCAACTGTTTTTCGTTTTTTTTTTTTTTTTTTTTGTTAAATGGAAGTGACCAACAAACTTAAAGTTTGGCACTGCAGGGGTCATTGAGTTATACAAAACTAGAGGAGCAAACCACATTGTCGCGAACTCAAAGAAGTGTAACCACTATCCAACCACGACGACGCTCTCGAGCTCTGAAATTACTTAACATTTTAAATCAACATATCTGTCTCACTTACACAAGTTGCGTAAACAATACCTTTGCTAAGATCAGATAAAGATAGACACACAAACATGCAATGGCGGGGTGGTGTGGCTTACTATATGAAACTTTACTCCAAATACGCAATGAAAAGGAGTTTTCTTTAAGCTACCAGTTAATTGTTTTTATTTAAAAAAGTATATTTTCTTATCTGATGAATAAAAGTAAGTATTACTGATGAAATAAAACATAATTTTTATAAGTATTTTTATTGTACTAATAAATCAAACAATAAGAAATTGGTATTAAAATGTAATTTATATAAAATTATAATTAATATAAAAATATTAATATAAAATAGGTAATAAAATTTATTAGATCATTCATAAATAAACTAAAATAAGAATAATTATTTTGTATGAAAATCAAAACGTAGTTTTTATTATAAATTCCAAAATATTTAAA